CCAGGTTGGAAGAGTAGGGGAAAGTCATCTGGCAGGACGACGGTTGGGAAAGGAACGACGGCTTGCTAGCGAAGTCAGACGGGGCCACATAGTAGGCGCAGCCCGGCAGGTACATGCTGGCTGCGCTCGGGCTGCACTCGTCAAAGTCGTTCATGGCTCAGCGGCGTGCGCGCCAGCGAGCCCCTGGCCGCTCCCCGCGCAGCCAACCTGAGCCATCGATTGCACAAGAGGCTTGGGCCAGGATCAACTAAGCAAAAATCCCCACCGGGCGCTGACGTGCAATTCATCTTGATTGATTCTGGTGGTAATTATGTCACGTGACGCCATGAAGAGAAATGTCCTTATATCTATATCAACGCTCGCCAACACGCCCTGGGACGGCTCCTGGCGCCGAGACGCTGGGGGCGGATCGGCTGCCCTCTCCCGCCAGCTCTCCCAGGGCGCTCCCTGACCAGGCTGCGCCTCAGGCCGGTCACCTGCGCGTCGCTGGCCGCTGCCACCGCTGGGCGCATCTGCCACCGCCCGAACGGGCCGCCCGCCCGTGTCCGCCCTCCCGCGCCGCTTTAAGTACGCGGACCGAGGCCGGTGGGGAGGAGGAAGGAGGGGGAAGAGGGGGAGGAAGGGGGAAGGGAGAGAAGCTGCGAGCGGAGGGGGGGGGGAGCCCCGGCTCCAGGCTCCCTAGAAGCTAGAAACTAGGTGTGAGGGTGTGAGGTTCCGAACCCCACCCCCTTACTGCAGCCGCTCCCTCCCCCGCGACTCTGCCACCCTCTGCAGCTCACCCGCCTGGGAGCTTGTTGCTTCTTGTTCACCGGGCGGGCGTAATTTCGCCACTCTCTAGGGCGCAGGGAGCCCTGATTTACATATTTCTCTGCCCAGCGCGTTCAGCGCCGAGTGACTTGGCTCTTTCCGGTTCTGCCCCCAGGGGTGCGAGGGCTGACCTCGGAAAAACCCAGGCCACTCACCGCCTAGGCACTCACCCAGGCCGGGGCCTTCGTGCCCACCCGGCTCTCTTCCCTCTTCTCTGGTTTCCCTCTCTGTTGTCTCTCTTTCTCCTTGCTTGGTCTCTCTTCAGTCTTCTCCCTTCTCTCTCATGTCTTCACTTCTCTCCTTCCCCTTCTTTTCCGCTTTCCTTCTTCCTTCCTCTTGCTTTCCCGTCTCCTTTTTCCTGTCTCTCTCTGCCCTCTCATCCTCTCCCCTCCTTTCCCCTAAGCTGTGTGTCACTGTCTCTGTCTCTCTCCCTGTTGCCTCTCTGCCTTCCCCTTTAGCACTAAGGCCAGGAGCGAGCTCAGCCCGTGGCCCCTGGCCTCCCTAGAATCTGGGGAGTCTGGTGAACAAAAGGATCTGGAGTCCTGCTCTCAGGGTGCCTGGCTTCCCGCTGGCTCCCCACAAGAGACAACCCCCTCACACTCGCACCTTCGTCCTCCTCACCCCTCTGCTTTCAGGCCTGGCCTGGGTGTCCGCCTTACATCCAGACCCTTCACTGCTTCGGAGCCCCGCCAAGGCCTGCGCATCCACGCTGCGTTTCCCCGAGGCTCTTCTGGCACCCTTGGGCTGGCATGGTCACTTCAGTCCCTCCCCCAAAATAGGTTGTCTCTCTGAGGGCTCTCAGCGGCGCCTGACTTCCTACTGAAGCCCCTCTGTGTCACCTGGCTCTGAGGCAGACTCTTCGCGGGGCACCCCATCCACTCCCCTGAGGCCTCACTCTCCTCCCAGCCTGCCGCGACCCTCTCCTAGCCCATGGGTCCAGGCGAGGCCTGGGCTCCCACCTCCGAGAGAGAAGACGCTTTTCAAAGGTAAACCGTCCCTTCCCAAACCCAAATCCCAGAACCGAGGGCATGAGGCTGCCCCTTTCCCCAAGATTCCTCCGCCCAGGCAATCCCAGTGCTGGGGCCTGGGCCTCAGTCCTATACCCAGGGCAGGCGGCGCTGGCTGTGATGCTGGTTCCCTCCCTGGCCCGGGCTGCTGCAGTGCCGGTGCTGTGCGCTCTGCCCACCGTGCGGACAGACAGAGAAAAGGCGGGTGGTCTGAGCTAATATCTATTTTCTGGCTGATGTCCCCCCCCTTCCTCTTTTTCTCCTCCCTCCCTTTCTCCCTTCCTCTCTCCTTCCTCCGCCCCTTCCCATGTCTGCTTCCCTCCCCCAACACTGCGCAAATAGGTCTGTGGCGACTGGAGGGCACCGAGCCTCCCCCAACTAGAACTGCCCATCTTGTGTGCTCCTTCCCCACAACTGGCACCCCCGCCCAGATTCCAGCTGACATTCTTCTCAACCCAGACCCCCAGCACACGAATCTGCTTCCCCATCTCCATCCCAGGCCCAAGCCTCTCCCTTTAGGACTCGTGGTCGACGCCCCTAGATCTCTCTCCTAAAATGGCTCCCCGGACGCTGCACACTGGCCCTGCGGTAGCTCAGGACCCAGGGCAGCGGCGATGACTTCAGTCCGGGTCTTTATGTGTCTGGAGGTTCGCAAAAATTCTCGCACCTTCTCTCTGCTGGCAGCACGGGGTGGGGCGCAGGCAGCCCGGCGCCCCCAGTGTGGAGCCTGCTGACCGCCAAAGAGGGAAATGGGGAGGACGAACCATTCAAGTTCAACGACATGGCGACGGCAGCTCCGGCGGGAGCAGCGATTTGGCGGGGGAGGGTGAGCCAACTGCAGTGGCGCGCCGATGCACAGGGGAAGGGGGCGGCCGGTCCGTTTCGGCTCCTTAGCGCGGACCCTTGCCCCCCGACCCACTCCACAACCCAGAGCGCTTTCATTCCAGTCCCAGCCCGCTTGGCTCTTTGGCCCCAATTCCCTCCTAGTTCCTGCCCCCATTCCCCAAACCCAGGGAAAACCGCAGCCTCCGGACCCGCGCGTCCCGCTCGAGAACCTACCGTGAAGACCCCGGCTCTGTGGCCTTGTCCTTGCCTGCGCGGCCCCACCCGAAACGCAGGGAGCGCACCAGGCCTTCGGGTCGCAGCCAGCAGCTCCGCGAGGAAGAGCTTTCCGCACAGAGACGGGACGCGATGCGGTGATTTTGAGCCACCCAAGATAAGACACTAACTTGACCTTAACTTTGTCAGGGCGCCCCTGGTATCTGGAGAACGTGAACAGACACTGTCTGGCAGCTCTCGTAAAAGCTGACTGGGGAAGGGATTCTGAGTCATTTCATTTATTGCCACTACAGTTCTGCAAGAAAGCTTTTCCTCCCTGCCAAACTTTAATTATTTATGCTCTTTTAAGAAATGAAAGAAGAGAAACGCAGGGAAAACACCCAGAGCCAGTTCCTTCCCTGCAGAGTCTTCGGAATGGACTCCTTAAGTCAAGCGAGGGGAGAACAAAAATATGAGGAGATCACTTTTGTCTAAGGACAGTGGGGCAGTCGCCTTGCCCTCCCCCACTATCACCGAGGGGGGAATGCAGCTGGGAGAGGCGGGTAAAGGGGCATCCCCCCCACATGAATATTTACAACGATTCCGGATTTCTCTTCCACCCGCGGGCATCCCGGAAGCCTCCCCAGCCCGCCTCCCTGGGGGAGAACCCCCAGGCCTTAAAAGCGTCCCCCGTCCTCCGCCGCCCTCTGAGTTCGCAACTGATTGAATGACAGACGAAGCTGGTTTTTTTCTCTTTTTAAAACCGTTTTCTTAGTCAAGAGGCCCGCTTGGACTGCAGCATTTCAGAGGACACATTTGTCTTTCTGAAGGAAATGTTGAGCACTCAGATTTTAGCGTCCTTTCTCTTCAGCATTTTTTTTTCTTACAAATTTCTTAGTGGTTCCAAATCTCTGCGGGAACCCGGGCTATGGAAGGAGACACCAGAGTCTTTGTATTTGTGTCAAATAGCAAACGGGATAGATTTGGAAAAAACTGCTGAACCAAGAGATACGCTTTTATATTTAGAATAATTTAATTTTCTGTGAGGAGTGATCTCCATGAATATCCCCTCCCCCCACTCATCCCAGGCTAAAGGAAAAGAACACGATGATTTAATGATATATTTTGGAAAGAAACGGCCTCCGTGTTGTCTGTCTTAAGGCCTGGATCTGAGTACGTATGCTTTCCTCCTCCTTTCCCCAGCCTTCCGAGGGCTCAGTGCGGCTTCTGCCTTTGTTCAGTTGTTTTTGAGCAGGCAAACCTCTGAATGCAGAGTCAGACTTGGAGATCCTGCTCTGGGTACCATAGCCTCTATGTGTCCAGCCAGGTGGGGAATCCTTTTGAGCCACAGGGCCTTGGCAGCTCTTGCTTCTTTCTCTCCTATTGAATATATATACATATATGTATATATAGTTGTGTGTGTATATACAATTAAAGAACAATTAAAAATTTAATTATAAAGAACAATTAAAAATTTGCTTCTGGGAAGGGGAGTTGAAATGTCGGATATTTAGTATTAGCGATTTAGTAGTTTTGCTAATTCTTCCTCTAGCTAGAAGCTAGTTTATACCTCCACCAGCTAGGAGCTGGTGTTTGCAAGAAGATGAGTAGCAAGCAGGCCCTGACTTTCCTGGACTGAGCTAGAGGTTCAGATGGGCTAGGGAGTTTTGAGGACCCATTTCCCAAGGGAGTCTGCTGGGCTCCTGGTAAACCTGCTGGTATCAAGGATTTAGCAGGACCTAGCCGGTTCCAGAGAAGCTGGACCAAAACTCTGTGGAGACAGACGTTTTGTTTTGAAATTTGAGGAACCTCAAATCTTTACAGACCCTGAATAACAGCAAGCTTTAAAGTTTGAGAATTTAGGCTAAGTGCAGAAGTCCCAGCTTGCAACAAGCTGAGAGTCCCCTTAATGTGTGAGACACACTCACATTTGCCGTGGTCCTTCCCTTTTGGATATTCCAAACATATTTGGTTCGAGGCTTTTACACACCATTTCCTGACCGCCTCGGAAGCCATTTTCTCATTTAACGAACAGTCAACACCCGCGGTGAAATAACAGTCAGAAAAGAAAAACGAATTTGGTGGCCTGAAAAACATTAAGGGGTAATCCAAAACACTTTGAAAAATTGACTTCAGCCCCTTGACAGCTTGGCTCAGACCTGAATATTTATTTTCACTCAAAACATTTGTATATATTGTGTCTGATATATACAAGCTACTGTTTTCGACAAAATCAAAACAAAACATGCATGATAACTATTAGATAGCCTAGAAAATGAAATTAGTCTAAACATTAACTGAAGTCAGTTGGGCTAAGGCTCAGGGCTCTCTGTGAGGTGCCCACTCCAGGTTTGGGGCCAGGTCCTCCACTGAAAAGAAATCACTGGACTTTGGGAAGGCATCCTGAATCCTTGGGTTGTTGTGCATCATGCTAGGAGGTGCGAAGGAGGAGTGCTGTATGTCAGAAGGAGAGGGAAAAGAGGCAGGGATAGTGGAATGAGCTGGCCAGAGGGAGGCTTTGTTCACTGAGATTAAGGTGGGACACTCCAATACACCCAGAACAACTCCACCTGGCATTTGGGAACCCCTGCCTCCTTGAGGCAAGCCTGGCAGGGTCCAGGGCCTTGAAGTCTCCACTGGGACAGGCCAGACATGCCTCAGAAGGGGCACAGTAGCTGGGCCTCTGGTAGAGTTGGCAGATGGTGGAGACGGTGAGAGGAACTTCTGGTCCTCTTTGCTTTGTCAAGAGCAGCTAGCTGGGTGGAGAATCTAAGAGATTTCCTTCCCCAACCCTTGACTCTTGAGAAGGATCTTTTGCCTACCCTTTTGAGAGTCCATTAAGGTAATTCAAGAAAGAAAGATGCGCCGACACCTTTACTCACCTCAACTGGAAAGCCATATTTACAGCTGGAGTGTAGCACCCCTCCTCCTCTTGTTCACTCCCTTCTCCTCCCCCTGGATATCTCTCCCTCCTCCCTGTGCAACAGAGCTTCCAAGCAGACCAGCAGCTCCTTTCCCCAGAGGTAGGCTCTGGGTATCCAGTTACAGGGTTCATGGGCCTGGCCTAGGCATGTATGAGAAGGTGAGAGTAGGGCAATATTTGCCAGTCTTGTCTGGAGATGGCACTTTGTCTGGAGCCCCAGTCTCTCTCATCCAATCTCAGGAAATGAAGGTTCCGCTCTATTCTACCCAGTTGGAGGGGCCAGCCTATTTCACATTTCTCATTTCGAGATATCTCCAAGTTTACCCCAATACCCAGCCCCTCCTCTTCTCTCCCTTTTCCTCCCAAAGTCTGAAGATCTAGTGTGGCTTTTGTCCTCTCAAATCAGCCAGGGCAGACAGGAGGGTGGAGGGTAGATGGTGCCCTTTCCTTTCTCCAGAGTGAAGATACTGGCCTTGCCACAAAGGGCTTCTGCTGCAGAGACCTAATTGTGCCCACCGTCCTTTCCATTCCCTCAGGAGGCCTTCCACTCTGAGCCTTAACTAGGCAACTGCTATAGGCTGAAGGGGCTGGAGACAGGGGGAAAGGTAGAACGAATTGGGTGGAAACAGAAAAATCCAGGTACCAGGGAGCAAGAATGAGCGGTGGGTGCAAATGCCCCAGCCAGGAGCAAGGAGAGGTGGCCTCAGTGCCCCCATGTGGAAGCCTTAAGGCCAGCCAGAGTTGCACTGTACTGCCGCACGTTTCTCACGGGCTTCTCAGGGACTGAGGAAAGCAAGGAGGCCCAGCTGGCCTGCTCTCTAAATCTCTTGGTGGCTTCTGGGACTAGCAGAGAAGGAACCAAAGGAAAAGCCTTAGCCTTAGCCCCAGATTCCCCTCCCCAAACAAGGCCTCTGTCCAAAAGGGCAGACCCAGCCGGGCCCTGGCCACGCGCACGGCTAGTAGAGCGCCAGCGCCTGCTCCCTCAGCACCACGCGCTTCTTCTTCATACGCCTGTTCTGGAACCAGATTTTGACCTGCTGATCGCTGAGATTCAGCCTATTGGACAATTCCTTGCGTTTCTGCCGGTTGATGAATTCGTTGATGAGGAATTCGTTCTCCAACTCCGCAATCTGCTGCTTCGTGTAGGGTTTCCGCTTCTTGCGGGCCCTCCCCGGGGCCGCCCCCCACGGCAGGCCTGCAACACAGCCCCAACCCACGTCAGCGCAGCCCGTTCTCTGTCTATTGCCCGCCCCCAGGCGGTTCACCTCCCCTTACGCTCTCCCTTGAACCCCACCTCCCGTCCCGGCCCAAACCGGCCCGGGGAGCATGGGCACCGTTTACCGTCGGGCAGTGAAGGTCGCAGGCAGGAGGCAACGCCCGCCGCCTGCACTGTCATGTTCAAGTTGAGCGAGCCCTTGGTGTCGTCCTTGAAGCCGGGGGCGCAGGGAGCCCCCTGGAGCAGGGTCGCGGAGCCCGGCGTGGCACGACCCACGCCCGCGTAGTCATACTTGGCCGCTTTGAGAGCAGCCACTGCAGGGGCCAGGCTAGACTCGGGGGCGAAGGAAGGCCGGGTACGACCGCGCTCCTCAGGCCCAGAGGCCGCTTCGGGCGCATAGAACTTAGCCTGCTCTTCGGGTCCGTCCTTGGCTGTTGGGGGCTGCAGGCCGAGAGGCCCGGAGCCAGCCAGGTAGGGCTGCGAGAAGCCGCCGAAGGCAGTGGCGCCCGCAGGCTGCGCGGGGGCGCAGGAGGCTGGCGTGGCGGCCCAGGGCAGCGCGCCGCGCGGGTAGGAGATAGGGGGAAGCGCGGCCAACTGGCCGCCATTCGGCCGCAGGTTGGAGAAGTAGAAAGAGTCTGGCGACTGCAAATTCAGAAGCGAGCCCACATAGCCCGCTCTGTAGAGACTGCGCTCACACATCTCCAACAAAGGGCTTCGGCTGCGCTCGCAACAGTATTTAGTTACAACCGGGAATAAGAGGACAGGCTCAGACGATTGGACGAAACTTTGCCTGCAGGTTCTTCAAAGCCGGTCATTTCAGCACCGCCTACATCCCCCCGACCCGTTTTCCCCCCCTTCAGAGTATTATGATAACACCCGCAATGTTCGATGGCGAAAGACGGGGCTGCCAGAAGAGCCAAATCAAGTTGAGCGAAGACTAACTCTCTGAGGGTTTCCAAGCCCGGCTTCGGCAGCTGGGGACATCGGGCAAGAGGGTGCTTCTGCCCAAGTGTCCCTTGGGACTCTTCTTGGCTGTGATTGGCTTTGCGATCCGTTTTCCGCAGGCTTTCTGGGCCCGGCTTGCTTCTACCGGCTTTAAGTTCCAGCGGAGGCATTTTCCATTAACCGGCGCCTCTCGACTTGTCCGGAGAGGGCGCGGTCCGGCGGCACCAGGAGCTCTGTCCCTTGGCCTAAGCAATGTCACTCCTACCCCAATCACTCCCACAGTAAGGCTTTCTCCAGAGATCTCTGCCTGGAGATCTGGCAGCAAAGACCCATTCACTGCTTGAGCCCTCAGTCCCAGGCCGCAGACACAAAAAGGGCATCACAAACTACCCAAGTTTGGGATCCAGGAAGGAGGCCACACTACTCCTGGTTTGTGTCCCCATGGCTAAGAACTCTGATCCCAGGGAAGTTGCCATACAGGTCCATGGAGAATGTCCGCCAGGGAACCCATCAGTTTGATCCACCAATCGTGGCCAATGGCTACATTCCTTTTATCGTCAGGAGTCCTCTCCGGGACTACACACTGCAAACCAGAACTCCGTGGTGTCCCCATCCACCAAGTGGAGGGCAAAGCAGGACGAACTCCCCTGACTGGGTGTGGAAAGGCAGAAGAGCCAGAGTCACCTGGCCGGGGAAGAGCGGGCGTTCGGAGGCAGCTGGCTAGCAGAGTTCCTCGCCTCAGCGCCCCCAGGGGTGCCGGGGATAGGGAGTTCACAGGTCTGACAAACAGCGAAGTGAGAAGGGCAGCAGTTCTTAGCTGGGAGCGGTGTGCTCAGACCCCGCCACTGGCCCTCTTGCCTAGTCCGGTCAGCAGACTAGGGGTCCTCCCCCTCCTGCCTCCGATCCCAAGACCCTTGGAGACCCCGTGACCGGCGCCAGTCTCAGCCTGCAGCAGGACCCTCGGTCTGCGAGCCAAGCTGGAATTGGTTAGATCGCGGGCTCCCGCACCGAGACCACACAGGCGCCGCCGGAGGGCAAGACTGACCACCGCGCTGCGACTTTATTGTGTGAGTTATGGCGACCAATTGGGTGGCTCTGGGGAACGCAATCGGCCTCTTCCTCCTGCTCTGGTGGGGGGGGGGGGCGGGGAGGGGGAGGGAGGACGGGGGGGTGGGGACGTCTGAGGCTCCTTTGGCTCTGCCAGAGGGTTTCCTTAGGAGCTCAGGCACACAGACTCACTCTCTCGCGTCCTCTCTTGGGAGGTGGGGGCAAGCACAAGCTGCAACCCCAGTTCCTAGACACTTAAGGGAACACAAGCCTCAGATCCCTAAGAGCTCTTATTTTGGGGAACCCATCCTATTTTCGAGGAGCTGCAGCTTCGTTACTCCCGAAAGCTCCAGCTTCAGGAGTCCCTGCAGTCTCTGCTCCTCACGTTTCAGTGCAAGACAATTCCTCGTTGTTTCCAAGCCGAGGGGTGTCTCCTTCGGACCTTTAGGCAACCCTACAACAGCTGTTTGTGCCTTAGGACTAAAGGCATAAAAGAACTAAGTGAAAAACTGGAAAGACAGGAACAACTAGGGTTCCCTCCATTGCTCCTTGCCCAGTCTTCCCACTTCATTCCCCGGGTTTATGACTTTCGAGGTCTGGCAGACAAAGTCTTATGCGAGCTGTGGACCCGGATCGAGGGAGGGTCGGGGTGGAAAGTAGTGGCGGGAGGCGTCTTGGCTGGTGATTTAGAGAATGGGAAAGGATTTGGCTGAGGAGCTAATAGCGAGCTCTGCCAATGCCGCTCAACGCCCAGGAGATGGCGAGCGCGCTCCATGCCTATCGAGGCGCAGCCGCACGGTCAAGATCAACAGTGAAGGGCGGTGCGGCCGCCCTGGGGTCGCCAGCCCGCGCGGTCACAGCGCGCTTTCAGACGCAGCCGAGCGCCTCCGAAAGTCGGAGATCTTGGCGGCAAGGCCGCCCCTGACACTGGCTCCCTGACAGCGGAGCCAGAGGGACCCAGGGGGCTGCCAGAGGCGGGGAAGCATTGCAGTCGCCCTTTGTCTGGCCGTGGGTCCCGGCTCCAGTGCTTCCTTCGCCTGTTGAATCACGCGACACGGGGGCCTTGTTCCCCCACCCGCGGCTCTAAAAACCTGCCCAGTTTCTGAGGCGCCCTCCGGCCGCCTGTCTCCAACAGAAGGAAAGGCCTCTCTCCAAGCCCTCTTAGCCTCCCGGGCTCCCCAAGGGCCTCCCTCCCAGTGCCTGGGTCACTTTCCAGTTCCTTCCCTCTCTCCGCAATTTGGAATATAAAGGGAATGCATATAAATAACAAAACCTCCTTCTGTTATTGATTTAGCTCTGAATCCAAATTCCTCCAGAAAGCGTTTGAGTACAGTTTTAATCTTCAGCAAACCTACTATTTCTCCAAGGCGGGGGGAGTGGGGGAACTGATATGCAAACTAGAGATGAAAGGAAAACCTCGAGGCAATCTCCCCTACCCACGATGGGAAACCCGAGAAATAGACCTGGAAATGGAGTGACGTTCTGGAGTGTGGGACTCACAAAAAATGGAGGGGAAGGTTGGCGATGAGGAGAAAGGAAAAACGTGCCCGTTTCCGATGAAAACATATCTTTTGAGAAAAACCACAAAAACGCTAACGATGCTTGCCGAAGTGTAAGGTGGGGGATGGCGTGGCCCCTTGTACATGGGTTATTTCTTCTGCAGAGATTGAATCGCCATCAAATCTCTCTCTCTGTCTCTCCGTCTCTGTCCCTCCCCCTCAAAAACGAAGTTAGCTGTCCACTGTCGGCAGTAAGATATGAAAGAAATCAAGCTGGGACAGAGAAAACGAAAGTAGCTCCAAGTCTTAGGTCTCTGCGTTTTCTCTCTCAAAGTCATGAGGGAGCCCTCCCACCAGGAGAGTTTTCACACTCAGTGAGGTTTTAAATATCAGTATGTAACTAACTTACACACGAAAACGTTAGCAACAACTGAGTTGATTGCGTGGGGAGCTAACCTTGAGGAGTCATCCAGTTCCTCAGCGGCCATTTCCCTGAGTGGCAAAAAGGCCTCAAACAGAAAATTCTAGTGCCTAAAAATTGCGTCTGAAAGTTTAGATTTTATAATTATGTTTTCAGTTGTCAACTGCTCTGTGCAGACTGCCCGGAGAAGGTGATATGGGATAAGTTTGAAATGTTTCTTTTTCGATTGCCAAATATGGATATGTCTTTCTAATTTCAAGACCTTCCTAGTCCAGATATTTATAATGGTCTTCCTAGGTTAAAAATTTTCAAGTAAGTTTTTCTATGCACAGGCATACAAATACATATGGATTAAAAAAATAAATAGAACTATATAAATAAATTGACAATAGTGAAAGAAAAGTAAAATTTTATTGTTTTTTTAGCTGGCCTGGTATAAAATATCATTTTAAACACTGCAAATTATATCCTCATTTTAAAACATCACTACTTACGTTAAAGTCATGGGCAAAAGGGAGGGAAGGGGGCAAAAGTGGAGAGCATGAAGGTTCCAGAAACCAGAATTAGTGTTGAGTTTCCTTCATCCACAGAGAACATAACTGTGTTCAAGATATCAAGATTTTGTAATAAATAAGAATCATTTCAAGAGGAAACACAAACTTGAAAAAATAAAACAAATGTATAAGGACTCAGAAGAAACAAGAGAGTTCTGTTTATTGGCATCTCCCTAGGAGTAAAAAGTGATTTTTAAATGCCTGAAGCACTGCCTATGTATTCCAGCTCACAGACATTACATCTACAAAAATAATCTCTCAATTGCATAAATATGCAGCACTTTAAAAGTAATTATTTATCATCACTTTCAGAAACATCATTATTTTTCTTCTTGGACCTTGGAACTTCACATTTTTCATATTTGTTGGACGCTTTACAGCTCCATGAGAGGCCCAATGCATTTATTCAGACAGTCAGGTTCTTCACTGGGTTCTGTATGTAAGTTCCCACCCATGGCCACATTCATTCAGCCTCTTTTTGAGGATTGAGGAGATAGCCACAATCCCAGACCCATAGATTCAAGGCCAAGAGAAGGAGGTGCATTTATGCCATCCGTGGCTCACTCTACTGATTGCAGCCATTTAAATATATGCATTGAGAGCTCAAGAAATGAAGGCATCCACGATCCATGAGGACACATGAGTTTCAAAATAAAATGAAAACACAAACCTACAAAATGTTAAAAATATACAATTAAAACAGCAAGCAAAACACCCAAAGTTGGAAAGATCATCTTCATTTCAATATTGATACAAACCCTATTTGATAAGGTGGCTACATTTAAAGCCATCACAGTACCTTCAGCCTCCTGTTTTTAGACTTTCCTGGTGACCCCAGAGCACTGCCTGCCTTTCCACTTGCCTCAGGGCAACTGCTGAGAGCTAATGATTTAATTAAATAATTACAGGATATGAATGACTGAAAACCATTCTGTCCTAATGGATTATGAAGATAATCAGTGCTGGGAATGAACAAATAAAGTAATTTAAAAAAAAACCGAAACCTTAAATCAGAATGGCGCTTCTGAAATTCATTTTGGGGGGGATTATTAAAAAATACTTCAAGTCCCTTTATACTGGCCTAGAGGGAGAAACAGAACATTAAAAACAGATATAAAAAAATCCTAGTAAAAAACAAAACCAATAATAAACAAGTAAAAATCAGAACTACACAGTCAGGCTGGGCAGCAGAAGGTTTTAGAGCCAGATAAGGGGAAGAGAGAAAAACAATTCACAAAATTTGCCACCATTGGC